AAAAAGGAAAATCTTATATTGGTTTGTATATGGGTTGTATTCAGTTACACTTTAAGCATCAACATTAAATATTTGAGTAAATTCTCTCTATTTTTTTTCTAATGTCTATAATTTGTGACATCTTATGAGGAAGGTGCAAATACACAATGAATTTGGACCCATGAACTTTATGAAGTAACAGAAATGAGGATCTACCTCTAAAGGATAGTTCTTGCTATTTGAGTTAGGCTCTAATACCAGGTGTTGCTCAGATTGTTAGTCACACATATCAAGAGGAGGAAGTGAATTGATCCTTTATATATCAATTATCCTTTCTTTTTCTTTTCAGTCTTTAATCCATTCTCTTAAGTTAAATTCAATGAGGATAATGAGAGAGAGAGAGAGAGAAAGAGAGAGAGAACATGATTTTACAATGGCCCAACCAAACCGTTTTGGCTTTTGTCTACTTTTGGAATCACAATTTTGGTTCCAACACTCTTCCTAAAAATATAGATAATTTCATCCTTAAGACAAATACTTTGTAGCTCTATATAACCCTCTACATTTCAAGGCTCTCTAAAAATCATGATACATTTGACTACATGAATCTGTCAATCCACTAGACTTATGACTCTAGTCATCCTCAATAACTTGCAATAGGTGTGATAATATGCATACATTCATGATTATATGAATCATTTATCTAAAAATTATTACATAAATTTAGTAAAAAAATACATATTCTCATTATTATTGATATGTTCATACATTCCAATACAATTACCTATGTTCTATTTTTTTCATTTAGTACTAATTGGATTCTATAGATTAATCCCACTTGACTACTTTGAAGTCAAGAGGATTATCTATAGTAACATTTATTTCTTTTTGAGTTATCAGTTGTGCAGAACTTAGCTAGATTCTATGGAGCAAAAATATTTTAGAACCAGGTCATGGAGAGCCCAAAAACGTGTGCACAGCCAAAGAGAGTAATGGGCTGCTCATAGCCCCAGGGTCCATAGGCCGGAGTGACAAGGTGGTAACGACACCACAAGGTCTGTTCACCGAAGCAAGTGGGAACCACATTCGAGGGTCCGCAGGCTAGAGTGACCAGGCAATAACCACACCCCAAGCTCTGCTCACCTAAGCAATCAGGCAGGAACCAGAGTTCAGGTCTGCAGGCCAGAGTAACTAGGTGGTAACCACACTCCAAGATCCGCTCACCTAAGCAACCAAGCAGAAACCACAATTCAGGGTCCGCAGGTTGGACTCGGTGGGAACCACAGTCTAGGGTCCGCAGGCCAGGTAGGAACCACACCCCTAAGGTCTGCTCACTGAAGCAACCAGGTGGGAACCACACCGGAGGCCCACAAGTCAGCACCTTCAGGCAAAACCTCCTAGAACCTCGAGTGTTGAAATCAAAGATTTAAATGTCTAAAAAGACCTTGGAAAAAGGTGATGATGTTGAGCTTGAGAAGAGTAAAAAAAGAAAAATGCTAGGGGCATTTATTGTACCTCACTCATCTTATTTTAGGCATTCTTCAAGGACCCGGATGAGGGCCGGCCACATGACAAACCCTCAAGGATCTCTCTCCCCTTCTTCTTCGAGATTGAATGAGGTTTTCTTCAACAAGTCTTGATTGATCGAGTAAAGAGTGTATGGAGCAAGTTAGGCTTGCTAAAAAAGGAGGTGCACTCATCTACAGATGATTAGAGCCCTAGGTTGGCAAAGAAGACCGTACAGTGAGTGTTGAATCCTAGTGCAGCACAATTATCTCTCACCTTCAAGATTAGATAGGAGTAGAAGTTAAATGTTAGTGTAGGAGTTAGTTCTTTTACTACACAAACCCATCACCTCACATTTCTCCTAAATTTCTACCCCTTGATTTCGAGATTTTCTCAAGATCTAGAAACTCTTCTATCTCCCTACCTCATACCTTCATTTCTTATCATCTCACACCTATTCATCACCAATGGAATCAATTCTCAACCTTATTTTAAAGCCCAATCCTAGTGGATACGACCTTATCTGATTGCATATACTCGAAACTAATTAGAAGTTTGGTTTATAAATGTTTTGATTAGTACCAACTTAAAGGCCTATGACACTTTAAGTTTAAGGATTATCAAGGTGCTACAAAAATTCATTCATGTCTCTATTCCAAGTCAAAATGAATAATAACAAATATTTGGCTCAAGAAGACTACTATCTTTTAGGATAGATAATTTTTTCTTAAACAAAATAGGAGTAGCAAAGTTTCTCAATGGGCCAAATATCAAGAGATCTTCTAGTGTTAAAGTTCTTGGGAACATGAGATACAATAGTGTCACAAGCTGGACCATATTATGCTTGAAGATGCTTGAAAGATGTGAAGAATAGTGGATCTTGAGGCCCTCTCTTCATTATAGATGATCCGCTTTTGATTTTTCTTGTCCTTGGCCTGATTTTGGTTAAAGCCCATAAGCCCATTTTTGTCATGGGCTTATGAAGCCAAACAATTGGCTTAACAATTAGGTGAGTAGACCTTTCCCTCTAGTGTCTATTCAACCAAGTAAGATTAGAGTGGTGTTTTGAAGCCATGATGTGGACAACTCTACTAATGGTGTTTTTTGTGATGTTGTGGTTATTTAAATAAACTTTTTTTTCTATGTTGAAATTTCAATTAGAATCTCAATGTTATTCATCACTCTATGTAATAAGTCATGGTGAAGATTTCTAGATGAGATGTCTAGTATTATTTAAATAGGTATAGAGCATATAGGAAGAATTTCAAAGGTAGAAATGTTTAACGGTTGTTTATATTTGAACAGAATATTAGTAAGTTTATGATAAAAGTAAAAAGCATATGAAGAAAAAAAATTAATTAGTTGACAATGGTGTAGAGGGATAACAAGTATTTATTATCATGGGTTAATAATTAATTAATAATATATTTTAAGTCTTAATTCATGATAAATAAACTTATATTTATGTTAAATTGAGAAATTGATTTTCAATTGATTAATGTAAATGCTTCACTAATTATGTGATTTTATGTAATTTATATAAAATTTTCTAATCATATTTTTGAGATCAAATAAAAATAAAATAAATAAAAAATGAAAAAAGGGGGGACCATTGGCCAGCTAGGTCCAAACACAAGCTAGAGGCATGGTTGGGGTACCTACTAGCCAGCTAGAACCTACATGCAAGTTCAAGGCACAATCAGGGGAGCCATGAGCTATGGACTTGAGTGGCTGACTAGTTGGGGAACACGTGCGTCATGTTTGTTTTATGTCACTAGTGGCCAGCTAAGTGTGGGGCAAGGAGTGGTCATACACATGTGGCATCTAAAGATGTTGATGAGGAAATGAGGTATTGATATATATTTGTCTCAAACATCAGAAAATAGGCAATGTGGGACTTGTTAAAGTTAGTTTTTTTATGTTCAAATAGTTGTATTCTTTTATTTTTGTGTGTTAACTTGTATAATATATACAATAATATATTGCTAATTTTGAAAGTTTGAAGTTAAAGGACTTAGCATAATTTTTTATTCAAAAATTGAAGAAAAAATGAAAAAAGTTGACACATGTTAGCAAGCCAAAACTTGGCAGCTAACCCAAAGCATCATACACATGTATGTGCACAAGGATAAATCACTTATTCCCTTCTCCTAAGATGGTCATGGGTATTATTTTTTTGGGAGAAGATATCTCTCAACTCAAAACTTAGCTTTGATATATATTCAGCTCAATCGCTAAAAAACTTTTGATGTGGGACTAAATTTTCTCATTTGTTTTAAGGTAGTAGTTTGGGTTAGTTTGATCTAGTGATGCTCAACAAGCCATATTATCAGATAAGATAGATCTTATAGTGGGTAAACCCTCATGATACCTAAAGCGTAAAGCATTCAGTTGGGAGTTCATAAACTTAGCATGCACGTGACCAGAAAGGATGATCCAACAATGAGTGAAACGCTATAGTACTAAGGACTTAAGTTCCTAGTTGGTAGTAGTTTGTGGTAGGTTAATCCTATGTTGTTCAAGGGTATAAAGATAATTCTTAATTATTATTTGGTAAAATAGATATTATCGATCATCTTTAAATTTTTGATGGTAGTCACAATTACAACATCTATTCTTTCCTCATTTCACTCAATCAACGCTTCCAACAATTAGTGAGCACGATGGTGACAATGTGGTCAACCTCTCTTTTAGGCAGATTTCTCTTGCAAACAGAGCAACACTTCTAAATGATACTTTTGTGACTTCCTACATCGTGTGGCATGTCCAGACAAAATCAAGCTGTCACATCAATGTCTCTAGTTCCCATACTAAATTTGGATAATAATTTATTTACTTCTTAAATATTTACTTACATTTTTTATTTACATTTTACAACAAGTTACTTATGTTTCATTCATATTTTGATTTAAATGAGTAGAATTGATTCAAATCCCGATCAAAGATCTTCATTCATTTTCTAAATCCTTCAAAACTCATATGAGATCAAGCTAAGATCATGTCTAACTTTTTTTCTATTTATTTTTACAGTTAAATCTTAATGTATTCATGTTCTTGATGTTTTATGAATAATGAGTATTTTTTTATTTTTGAATACAAAATCAATGAGATTAAAGATTGATTAATGAGCATTAAAGTATTAAAACAAGATGAAGACATTCATGCCTGACCTTATGTCATGTATATAAATTCTTGAATACATATTCATTTGAGAATCATGATGATAAGTCTTCATTATCATAAGTTAATAACATAGTTTTTGCCTTGACTCATGATAAATAGACTTATATTTATATTAAAATTTTTAAAGTGGCTTTTAGTTGATTAATGTAAATTTTTGATCAATTATGTGATTTTATATGAATTCATATAATTTTTATAATACTATTTTTGAGATAAGTGAAGAAAAATAAAATAAAATAAAAAGATAAAAAAAAAGAAACTCATTGGTCAGCCAAGTTGATAATCAACTCACAAAAGTGACTAAGGACGGACCAGTAAGAGACATGTGTGCATCACTCACCTTCCACATCACTAGTGGCCAGTAAAGTGTGGGGCAAAGAGTGGTCGTACACATACACAAAAGGAACTCATTACTTATAAAATGTCATATTACAACATATTCATCTCATATTACAAAATCTCACAAAATCTCATATTACATGAAACAATTCACTTCGTTGTTACTCAACTATGTATGATGAATATGTACATAGCTGAATATGTTAAATACTTGAAGAATATGTATGATGAAGACAAGCTCCCACACACTCATTACATACATTTGTGCTGGCTGATGCATGATTGTGCTGGTTGGCCACCTATGTGCCCATTCTACGTAGGCAGGTTGACCTTATGTGTGTCCATTATGTTCCCGCTAGCGGACAATTTTCTCTCTCTGCGCTGAGCGCCCACAGTGCCCCGTGCCATGTTACATTATGCCTCACGTACCATACACACCCCCACATGCCGTGACATATCGTGCTGTGCCCGCCGTGCGCACATATGGATGCACGCCATCGTGCACCCTACGAGACTACAGCATTATGCTATCCGTGCTTGTGTGACCATGCCGTATTGCTGCTGTGCTGCTACCGTGCCGCACCACGCCACCATGCACTGGTACGTGTGTGTGTGGTGTTTGTTCGTGCTTGGCGCGCCGTGCAATCCCGGGCCAGATGTGCGTACACCGTGCACGCCCACAGAAACTACCGTTCCGACCTACGCTGGGAGTGAAGTTCTATGACAGGAATCTGGATCCTCTATGTTGAGGGTGCGATAATCATGCCTACGATTAAATGGCAATTGTATTTCCTTCTGTTCGAGGAGGGACGTTGTCTTGCGGCGGATAGATTTCTCTGGGCCTCTCAAGATTCCAAAATGCCGCCCCACCACCTTCTCAAAGCTTGACCTGCGATGAGCTTGCTAGAAGGATTGTGCGGCTGACTCGGTGAACGCCGGCAGGAGAGTCGGGTCCATGCTCAGGTCGGACATCTGGAAAATCTTCTTCGGATCTTCTCTCCAACGCATTTACGCAGCGCCCCTCTCATGTGGGGCTCAATGTCACGTCTAGCAGACGCGAAACCTGGTTACGCTCGCAAGCTAAGTTACTATGACGGATGAGAGCATTCATTCGACGCATTACCATTAATATGGCCAAGTTTGGAACCCTCGGGGAACCCACGGCCCGTCTGAATCATGGAAACACATCAGACAGAGACATTCTCCTCCTTAGGGATGCTCTTCGAATCCGCCAGGGGACTGGGGGAGCATTAACGAGGATCACGATGCTCGCCCTCTGTGACGGCGGAGGAGCAGGCGGCGCCCGGCTTCATTAAATAACAAGCGGGCGGCGGGGGGCGACCGAGCTCCGCTGGGCTCAGTTAATGGCCCCGGGGAGGATCTCCGTGAAGCCACGGCGACGTCGACCGTCTCCCGTGTGACCTCCCCTCCCTAACCTGTGACGTGCGTCAATGAAGAACCCCCTCTCTTCTCTGTTATATACAGCGGCGGCTCCGCGGGGAGACCACTGCCCATTACCCGTCCGAGCTCGAGTTCCGATCTCTCTCTCGCCTGCCTACCGGAAACAACCCCTCATGGCGTCCGCTGCCGCCGTGGCTGCACTCGTCCTCGCTCTCTCCCTCTCGCTGGTATCCCTCTCGCTGGCGAGGCGCATAGATCTCTCTCCTCACTCAGGTTTGCTCTCTCTCTCTCTCTCTCTCTCTCTCTATCTCTCTCTCCTCTCCCTGACGTTGACGACAGCGAGCCAAGTCCGCCGTCCTCGTCTCTACTGATGAGACGTCTTCTCTCTCTCTCTCTTTCGCTAAGGCATTTTCTCCGTTCACTTGGCGATTGCAGGCGTCATTACTATTCCCAGAAGCCATCATCATCTCGAGGGGGCGGGGCCCTCGGAGGAGAGGACGACAGAGGGGTGGACCCAGCGGGGCCGTAGTGGCCCGGAGACGGTGCAGATAGCGGGGTCGAGCCTGCCTGACTGCTCCCACGCGTGCGGGTCGTGCTCGCCGTGCCGGCTGGTAATGGTGAGCTTCGTTTGTGCGTCACTGGAGGAGGCGGAGACCTGCCCCATGGCCTACAAGTGCATGTGCAACAGCAAGTCCTATCCCGTCCCCTGAGCGCGCACTGTCTTCCTCACGAGGAACAGCCTATTCTTCGTCCTCACGGCTGTCACAGATGCCCCCCCTTCTCTCTTTCTCTCTCATCTTGTACACTTGTCCTGGCTAGAAAGGAAGTAGATGTAAGTTTATTTCTCTCGCTCACTCCACCCTTATTTTCTCATTGATTCTCCCGTCATGTACACAACCTTTAGTCGAATTCCAGAGAAGATAGCTCTCCGATTCTCACTCACCGAGGAGATCGTTTATATAATCAAAGAAATCATTAATTTTTTCGGAGGGCAAGTGAGGGGGATCACCGAGCTCAAATGTATTCGTCTAAAAGATGTTATCCTTAAAATCCTAAAAAAAGAGGAATGAAAGCCGGGCGTATTTTGGGCTGGAGGGAACTGGCTGGCGGCGATTGGTTTGCGGGGGAGACGCCTTCACCGCCGTGGAGTCCGCCCCCGCCCGATGGTCGTGGTGCTCATTGGACTGCTGGACGCGATGGTGAGGAGAAGGCGGAGGAACGAGGTCGCTGCAGAGAAGAGGCCACGATCGAGGCTCGGGGACGCCGGCTGCTGGCGCGCCAACTTTGAGGAAGACGACGAGGAGGGGATACTGGCATCCCACACTAACCCATCGGTGCATTCATCCGCGCCGTCGCTGGCGATGCTTGTTAACGTTCGAGGATGATTTCAGCGACGGGATATCCACGGCGTCTTTGCCCACGATACAGACGCATCCCAGGTTCTCTCTCTCCCCCCTCCCAACTGCATCTCTCTCGGCCACCTCTCTACTCCCTCGGACAGACGTAATCAACGGAGGTCGACGCCCTTCGACTGCCATCTCCAGGCAGATGGTCGGCAATGAGATTCAGGTGCCGACGCCACGGCATCAGCCACCGCGGTTGTCGCTGCATCCGCCCCTTCCTTTCCTCTCTACTCCACTTATTAATGGTCCCCTTTTATTCTATTCGTTACTCTGAGCCGTTGATTCTCGCCTTGGTCCGAGTTCTTTTGACATCCTCCTTGCTATGCCGTGTCTGCTCTGTCCACAGATTTGGTGCTGTCATATTGTGCTGCAGACCGGACAACAGAGTTCTAATCTCGGTCCGCCATTACATTAAGAAATCGGCTATCCAACTTGATCTTATTTTCTCCCTCTCGTTTACACAGGCACACGCGTACAGAGAGATATTTACAGAAAATTCTGTCCAAGTACTTAAACCTACAAACAAGTCGACGAGGACGACGACCATCGCTCCGGGGATGCGAGGGGGTCCGAAGAACCTGCGTGGCCGGGTAGTTTTACCACTGTGAATCCGCACTTTGCCCAATGTTTCGGTGAGTTGCCTAAATCTCCTAGGGAAAAGTCACATCAGGGATGCTCTCGGTCAACCATGTATTGGCCAGAGTAGGAACTCATGGCCAATTCATTTCGGTGGTCACCCACTCTCACTCCTGTTGCAGCTAATGCTATGGTTGGATCGAGGTCATGGCTTGGGGGATTCTTTAACCGTGCGGGTTATAGACGCCATGGGGTTGGTGAAAAGTTTCTTGATTATGTTTTGACTCCTCTTCAGGTGAGTTGATCTCCTCCTGCTGCCCGCGTCCTACAAGCTCGGTTTTTTCCTCGCTCGAGGGCTTTTCTCATGCTACGCATGCATTTTCAATGACACTAAGTAAGCATGGCCATGGTTGCCCTTACTTATTGAATCATGTTTTTTGTGTACTTCCTGGAAAAGTTATCTCACCAACTGACTCTATTTTATTCTCCGCATCTTGTTCTTTGGAATGTGGTGTTACTTTTTCTGTCCTTATCTGCTAGTCAGTTCTTATAATGTTTCAATGCTTTACGAAAGGACCATAAATGTTGAAAGGTTGTAAAAACTCATTGAGTACTGATTTTTTTTCCTCCTAAAGGTGAATCATTTTATATATCGCTTAAAGGGCACCTAGAGCTGGGTGTAAAACCCTTTTATGAGTAGAAGACCATGGGCAATACGGAGTACGTTTTTCTACCGTTGGTTTAATGCCACTGGATCATCCCTTAGCTGTTTGATAAAATAACTCATTTTCCACTTGTTTTGCCTTGGTCAACGATTACTTTATGAACCACATCTTTCGCTAATGTTATCAATAGAAACTCTGCTTCTCTAGTATTATTCTGACTTTTCTTTTTAAATTGTGCGAAGCTTGCTTGTTCTTATTTGAGATTCTTTATTTGAATATTGAGATAAGAGTAACCCATTAAGCAACGTTTAGTAATTTCCTTGTCACTTGTGATGGATCACGAAGAATCTTCTACCCTTTGAACTCGAGTCAGTTAATTGTCAAACCAACTAGATGTAACTAACGGCCCTGTAAATGCAGTAGAGGCCTGAAATCTACATTTATGCGATTTGAATTGCTTAGGCTAGAGCATGTGGCCTACAGTTGATCCACCACACAACGGGCTTTGTTGGTTTTTTTTTTTTTTTTTTTTTTGTTCTTCAGAAAAGGTATACATGTATCCAAAACCATGACTTCCACGTTTTGTTATCGTTTTCATGGGCTTTCTATACTCACATGAAAACAAACTTTGCGAAAAAAGTACCTAAATTTTTTCTGATTTTGAAATAGCTGAGTTTAGAATCTCAGCATCACCATAATCAAGCTGTCCAAATTTCTCAATATGGCTTTTTGCCGAGGACCAATTCTGTCTTCTTTGAGGAAAGCTTTGCTTCACACGTAACTAATTGAAAGCCTTCAGTTGCAGTATGACAGGAAGGCTCTTCTGGCAGTGTCAACATTGGCCAGTTTTCTTAAATATAATTGAATAAAATACGATGTTTTTTTTTGGTTTAATAATTCCCCACAGGCGCCCTAAATCATCTCATAAATGACTACTGATGACCTTTTTGTCTTTCTTAATTGTTTTTAGGAACAGAGGTTACAAAGGCTCAAAGATAGATTGCAAGTATCATTTGATGAAACACGACCTGATCATCAAGTATATGTCCATCTCTTCTCCAGGTTCATTCATTTTTCAAATACATTACTGTGCCAGTTTGATGGACAGTTCCTGCAAATTTTCCTGATGCAAGTCATGATTTCAGTGGGGATTGCAATCTATATAAAATATCGTTGGACAGAATAAATGAAACCCATGCATTGTAAAATCCGTTGAGTGGCATATTAAAACTGCTGAAATCATATTTGAATCTGGTTTTAAGGGACATGGAAGGAATAACAGGGGTGGGGGTCATATGTGGATTTTCCATGGTTCATCTGAAAATCAACTATATTTATGTGTATGCTTATGTGCCAAAATTCTATTTATTTCAGTAACCTCTTTTATTATTGATCACTTTTTTTCTGATCTTAGATTTGCAACGTATTAAGATGATTCATAATTGACATTAATTTCCTATAAATCAGATTTTTTTTTGGTTGTATGCAATTTCTGTTCATTCATGCTTTGGTTTTTTGATGGCAGAGAAAAATAATATTTGGCATCAACATCCTTTCTATGTACTCTTTCATTTCAAAAAAAAAATTGCAAATTCTTTTCTTGTATGGGCAGGATGCTCTTAAAGCGTTGTGGAGAGTTTCCTTTCCTGGTACTGATCTTATAGGCCTGGTCTCTGACCAATGGAAGGATATGGGTTGGCAGGGTCCTAACCCATCTACCGATTTTAGGTATTCCCCATCCACTGATTTCACTCTACCATTCGTTCTGGTTGAACCATGATATGCTGGGATTGATAACAGTCGTGCTACATCAAAGCCTACTGTTTCTATCTTGTTCTGATCGACTGTTATTTGAAATATTCAATTAATGGGAAGAACTCAAAGGAAAAAGGATGACGGAAAATAAGAGGCCATCAGAAGAAACGGATTTGCTCTTCCATTCTTATTGGGGATATTGGCTAAGAGGCTGCAACCTTGTTTTGGACAGAAATGAATGTATGCTATTTGTTGGTTCTCTGATGGCTGAAATTGTTTAAGTGGGACTACGGAGAAAAAGGGTTGGCAAGAGTTCTAAGTTCGAAGCCAAAGCTACATCTCCAAGTCAGTACAGAGGAAAACACTAGGCTTACAATGGTGCTCTATTCATCTAAGCAATGAGTTAGGCATAAATCTCATGTGGAATTGCAGCGGGTTCCTAAAGATCTGTTGCTCGATTTTATAACATGAGGATTTCATTTGCTCAGGAATATCCCCACCGAAGGTCTTAATGGAATGAACCTACAAACAGTAATGCTAATAAATAACAACAGTCATTTAACAGTTAGCTGATATCGTATCTAGAAATGACGTGTGAATAATCCATGTGAAGCTAAAGTGCCCATGGCCCCACCATCTCTCGATCTCCATAGGAATAATGAGTATGTTTTAATGAATTCTTAATCTATTAGATGTTTGATAGGAGGTGGTCATTCTATAACATCCGTCTTTAATCTTAGGGGCTGTGGATTTGTCTCACTGGAGAACCTCCTATTTCTTGCGAGGACATACCCGGTATGAAGGTCAAAACTTATCTCTGCAGGGACACGTGTTCACTCCCACGAATGGTCTCTCTTGATATATTTGATTGCTTGTTCTTCTCTGAAACTCCAAGTGAAGGCTTCCTACCGAAGACTACTGTTCAAGCAAGGTGGTGTTCGAGCCACTTGGGAGTACCCATTTGCGGTTGCAGGCATCAATGTTTCCTTCATGCTGATTCAGATGTTGGATCTGTACTCTGGTGCGTAATTTGAAGGCACAGTGCGTCAAGAGATGCTCACGTTCTGTTATCAGTCTGCTGAATATTATCTTGTTGCCATTGACAGTGAGACCCAAATCTCCGCCGGGACTCAACTTCATAAGGATTCTGTCTGGTTAGTCAACACTTGGGATTTTTGAGGGTAAATTGAGAGAATGAATGGAGCTGATTCTAAAAATATGCTCTCCACCACGATCGTACGTCATTCTGGTTGCAGAAGATGAAGAAGCCTTTGATGTGCTGTACTGTATAGCGTTTGAGATGATGGATGCTCAATGGCTTGCCCTCGGTGCTTCCTACATGCAATTCAATGTATTAGCCCGCCTACCTACCTTGGGGAAAATATTTAACAGTATCGTCTTTCCCTCTATGCAATGCCATTTTTACTTTCCTTTTCAGGAGGTGTTACTGGCGACCAGAACGCAATTGGAGCGAGAACTCTGTTTGGAAGATGTACGCAGAATACAAGATCTCCCAGCTTACAATCTCCTCTACCAGTAATCTTCTCTTCTTGCTTTCTGGTTGTAAATCTATTTCCACCTTGCACAATGTATATTGTATAAATGGATTCGTCATCTGGGAGTAGGTGATAGGAGATTGGAATGAAGAATATTCTAGTAAACCTAACCGTCATCAATTGTGGTTGAGATCAATACTTTCCAGCTATCCTCTTCACATGAGAGAGTCAGTTCCCTAAACCAGTCGATAATATTTTCCTAGCGATTTCTCTGCCTTGTATAACAACTTTTTCCTTGAGCAATACTTTGCCTTTTCTAATACTACGACCATCAAATATAAGGCCATAGATAACTATTAACACTATATCCACAATTCTCGTTTACTTTATACAAGAGATTCATTCTCCTAATCTATTAACCACTGTATCAACAATTCTAATTGACTTTTAGACTTGTCCTTGACAAGAATTTAATGTTGCAACATAAATATGTAGTTGGAAATAGTAGGATGACAATTTTTGTTGGTAGAGTAATGATCTTCAATATTGGATGTCAAATTGATTGTGAATTGGTGTAATCAATATGAAGGGTTTGAAAGCTTGGCCAAATAGCCTACAAAAAGAAATAATGATGAGCAATTGGCTTTATACTATGTTTTTTTTCTTTTGTTGCTAGAGTAAATTTCTTACATGGAGAGCTGAATTTTTGTCTTATAATTTTCTTTTAAGCTTTTTGAGTTAGAGCTCACTTCTAAGGTTACTCTTACCCATCTTTTATAAAAATGTAGATAAATGAAAATCTCAATAAAAGTATGCTTAAAGAAGTTTTACATTGAAAGAATAGGAGAAGAACTAGAGAAATACTATAAAATTGAAATAATATAATGATCAAATATTGAATAGATTATCTAATTGGTAGCCTTTAAATCTATGACCAAAGAAGTACTAGATAAAAATATAATGAACCTAGGAATTGCCTTGGTTGTATTGTCACATAATGGTCAATCTAGGCTTATTTAGTTCACTCTACTAATGTTGGCCTTGGTCATCCTTAGTGACACCAAGAACATTGTTGTAGAAGCACAAAATTAAAGGGATGTGTATTCCATTCACTACAACATAAGACAAAAAACATAGATAAATAAAGAAAGAGAGAGAAAATTAGACTCCCTATGAATTTTCTTATTTTAGCCTGATATTAGCTCACCTTAATCCTTAATGTGGTAGCTTGACATTATAGAAAACAAGAGTTGGTAGTATACTTACCTCTATAATAGATAGTGCAACCATTCCTTTTGATAAGATTGATTAAATGATGTAATTTCTCAAGCTGAGATCTATTAATGAAGTTAAGATGACTGACGTGACTTAATCATTATATAGTAAATCACATAAATTTAAAATTTATAAAACTAGAAAATACTAATTTTTAGATATTTAGAAATATTTCTGAATAAATATATAAATTATAATTCAATAAAAGTTTCAAAAATAATAAAAAATTTTCAAGTCAATCATAGTGAGATAATATAATATCAGGTAATGTTTTAGAATTTTTTTTTAAAAAATATGATTTTTTATAAATTTTATATTAAGAAATAAAAATAAAATATATTGAAAATTCACAATAAAGGGAAATAAGGGTGTAAACATTAGGATGACATCAGTATTGACGAACACGAATCAGATAAGAATAGAGTTTCACTTGATAATTCTTACATAAGTGATTACAAATAATTTAATTGATCAAATTAAGATATGTAAAAGCTAGAAGAATTGTAATTAAATGAAGAATAATTCAGTAAATTCACAAAAATTATCACTATATAAAATAAAAACTAAGTTGAAAGTAAGAAAATAGAGTTCCAATATCACGACGGCAATGCATCGATAATGAACCAAAATCCTAAGTGTTTGGAAGGATTATTGTGTAGTGTCTACAGTCTCAAAAGCTCTCTTTCAATAAGGCTCACATGAATAATCTCTATATTTTTTTACAAAATCTAAAAATCAATAAAATAGGTCATCGAATTATCTTTGACAGTTGTCACCTAGTAGAGTAAAAAAATGACAACTTTGTATCTCTCTAGTGGCTATCACCCGACATAGAAGAGCTAAATGATAGGGTGCATGTTAAAAAGTTTCATCCTCAAGTATACATAGAGGAGGCTCTTCATTACATCTGGTATGTTTTCAAGATAATGAAGACTTATTAGTCCTCATTGCTATAACTTTAGAAGGTTCATGAGACAAAAGTCATTATTTATTTGCACCTCCCTCAATTGATGTCACAAGTTATATACATTAAAAAATTTGTTAGAGAGCATTTACTCACACTTTTGACTTTGATGCCTAAAGTGTAATTGAATACAATCCATATAAAGATGAATATAAGGCTTTATTTTCAACAAATTCTAAGTTGACAAGTTTTTAGAAATGTGCTCTTAATTGTATGAATTTAACAACGTTTTAAGTTGTAATTCAACAATAAAAAAATGGGACAAGGTCGAGAACACATATGAAGAAAAGCCAATGAGCAAAGACAACTTGTTTGAAGAAAATAAATAAAATTTATATTTTACAGCACAAATTACTTAGGTACATTCTTCTATGAATCTTATTTCTCCAAAGAAGAACTTTTGGATTCATTCAATGAAATAATGATTTGATATAAAAAATCATATACTTCACTAGGAAAGATTAGTGAGAAAAATTCATATGGCTTCAAAATGGGTCAAAATGTACCATGAGGGAGACAACTTCAGATGAGAACTTGAATTTTAGAGGATGAAAATTAGTAATTTGTAATTTGAGTTAAATTTCATAGAGGGAAATTACTTTAATAGTTTAGCTAATCAAATTTCACTTTTAATGTTGCATTATATAAATATTAGAAATAATATTAGGTTTATTAGCAATCAAATATAAGAGGGATCTTATCATTTCTTTATAGATTTTTTCATCAATGGATTTTATATTTTTGGTCTTCATCACTTAGGTCGAATTTCTCAAGGGGTCATTCCTCTCAATACTTCACACACTCTAGTACTTCTGCCAAATAATTGGCTTGGGCCAAATTTCCTAAGAACAAATACCTCACAACACAATGATGGAGCGGGTGCCTCACGACACATTGGGGTAGGGGGTATGATAATTATTTGAATTATATGACTAAGATGTCAATTTTTATCTATCTTTATGATTTATTTTGGTGAAAAATACATGTGTTGATATAATTTTCAAAATAACAAAGTTTCATGGATAAACATTGATTTATTGATTTTTTTAAAGACAAAATTTAAATGTGATCACGAATTATGATGATTAAATAAGAAATTTAATATTTAAAATTCCAAGATGATATGAGTTTGATTCTAAATTTTCTGTATTTTTTTGGATTTTATTCTGAATTTTAAGAAAAAAATAAGATTTTTTTTAGTTTTGGTGAATTTATTATAAAAAAAGAAAAAATAAAAAAATAAAAAAATAAAAAAATAAAAAAATAATAAAATAATAAAAGGGGGAGACCTAGTGGCCAGTTGATGTAGGACGGGACGAGAACCCCTTGTACCTGATCAATGAAACTCGAGTCCCAAGATGGGGTAGTCGGACCGATCTAATAAGAATGTTTGGACCCTAGACTCTAGGTTTGACCTCGTAACCTAAGCATATGCAGGCGTACCAATATGCGTGATCAACCCAGGACAGCCTAGGGAAACACTCGACGATGGTAAGTGAGAGGCTCTCTCGATCCACGTTCAGACAGATGGTAGAACTATTGTCGTGAAGTAGCCTAGGGCTGCAGCTCACGAATTGTGACGAGTCTGGCACAGCGTCGGAAGTCACGATCAGATAACCTGTCCTATCCTGTCTACATGCTCCTGATGGCGGTAGAGATGAGCCGAGAAAACCCTTCGAAAGATAATTAAACTTTAAGAAGGGGTACGGAGCTAACCTTCAGGGCTGTGTAGCCCGGCGGGTTGTGACGGAGTGGAGATCCGACAAAGGCAGGGACGTCTGGTGAAGAGCGATGCTCAGCGTCGATGGTCGGTCCTGGTCGAGAGTCGCCGTAGCCGTCGTCGTAAGGCGTGGCACGGTCGGCGCGGGCGTGGGCCCGCTGGTGGGCCGAAGGGCAAGCTAGCGGGCGCGGGAGGCAAGCCGCGCGGAGGCCTTAGGGCATGCAGGAGCTGGCGCGGGGTGCGCGCGGCGGCAGCACTTCGGCGGGAAGGCCGAGCGTCTGCGGCGCTTCGGCGGGAATGCCGAGCGTCTGCGGCGCTTCGGCGGGAATGCCGAGCGTCAGCGGCGCTTCGGCGGGAAGGCCGAGCGTCGGCGGTTGGGGCGGAAACCCAACCGTCGCCGGAAGGATTGGCCTCTCTGGCGGCGCCGGGAAGCGGAGCAGAGAGGAGACAATCCGGCCGACGATACCAGGGAGGGTTGAGCTCTCCTCGTCTAAGCAGCACCCGAAACGGCGCGACGGCGGCGGAGCGTCGGGAAACTCTGGCGGGGGCCTGTGAGGAGCTGGGACTGATTCTGGCTCGTCGGCACGGCTGCAGGGTCTCTTCCGACGTCGGCGGCAGGTCGACGTTCATCGGCGAACGGCCAGGGACTAGGTGGAGCGGTGGAGGGCGGCTCCGGCATGTTTATGGTGGAGTTCTGGAGGAAGAGGCGGCAGACGAACCAGAAGTCGAGAGACTCCGACAGAGTGCTCGGCGATGGCTTGTAGGGAGGCGAAGCGAGCCCCTTTCGTCACGATGGCATGACGGGGTTCCAGCAGAGGCGGTGGCGGTTGCAGCGGCGACCGCGACCGTTTCGTCCGGTGACGGCGGCGAACTCCTGGGCGGCAATGAGATGGCCGGCGGCGGCAGTGGTCTCAGGCGGCAGCGGGACTTCTCGGGCAGCAGCGTCACAAGGAACGAAGTCCTCGAAGGGGGTATCGACGGCCTTCCTCTTCCTCCTTCCCTCCCTATCCTAGATCACAGATAAGGTACTCACAAAACGATAATTTCTCTCAAAAGTACGGCGCTCCTTCGAGGGGGGGTCCTAC